GATCTGGACTGCAATTATTCTTCCTTCTTCATCTTTAAAGATTTGCTGAGTTTCAATTTTGTTTCTTATGTACAATACAACCCCTCTCTTTTTGTTTTATCTGACGATATAAATTAATTTCCTAATCTTTTATTGATCAAAACTCTTTTATGTCTTCTTGCCACATGTGTTTCTTGTAAACATATAATGTCCAAATTTTACTTTTTTAAATATTGTCCAATTTTATTTTGTTTTTTCCTATCATTCATCCCATTAATGTTCCAATTCCATAATTTCAGCGCCATTTTGACATCCTAATTAAATAAATTTTATTTAAATTTTATAATCTTTCTTCTTGTTCTTCTTCTTCTTCTTCTTCTTCTTCTTCTTCGTCTTCTGTATTTCTTCCGTCCTCTTCTTCTCCGTCTCCCGATCCACCTCCCCCCCACGGCTCCTGCTCCCATTGATGCTCCTCTTGGTTCTTCCTCTGGTCTTAATTCTTTATATCTCCTCAGAAACTTGCTAGCTTCCTCTGGGCTTGTATGTGTGTTTTTTACTTTTGTAGAAAAACGAGATCCCCTCCGGAAACTCCCACCTGAATTCTATCTTATTCTTCTTCAAGATCTGCACCAGTGGTTTATATGGGTCTCTTCGTTTCAACAGCCTTATTGGAACGTCTTTAAAGATAATTATATAATTCCCATCAATGTTAAATCTTTTTTCTCTGTTCTTCTGTAAAATCATGTTTCTTATTTCTCTGTCCTTAAATGTAATCAAGCAATCTCCTGGGAATTTCTGGCATTTCACATTTTTTCAGGGTGGGAGGAAACAGTGTGTGTGTGTGTGTGTGTGTGTGTGTGCGCGCGCGCGCGTGTGCGTGCGTGCGCACATAATTTTCTGGGGGGAAACCCTTCTGACTTTGCTGGTGGGATCCAAACATGTCAGATGCAACTAAGGTCCAGAAACAGTCTAGTAACTACTTCTCTTCACCCACCACTCAGTGTTCTTGTGTTGCTGTTTTTGAATTGTAGTGCTTGCAGCAACCATGTAGGTGAGCCATCAATTTCTTCTATTTAGTCACAGCCACACACATTCTTGGCTTATACAATAATCTTATTGTTATACAATAGAAATAATTAGAGATGCGTTGCAACAATCAATGCAGATCTCATATGTTGCCTTTTAGCTAGTTCTACTATTTTCTGCGCCTTTCTGTGCACAACAATGGGGAAATGATTTGGAGTGCACCAATATCTTCCTTCGGAGTGACTCAAGTTTAGTTTTCTGTGAAGTTCCATTGTACATAACAGAACTTGCACACCATTTTCTTGAAACAAAAGTGCCTTGTGTTTCCAGTGTTCCTAAATGCTTAGCTTTGGAGTTCCAAAATGTCCCCTTAAAAAGTTTCTTTCCAAAGTTTCCCTCTTCCCCCAGCATAAGAAAATGACCACACATTTTGTGAGCTAGGAAAATGGTTTACTTACAACAAACTCTCCAAAGGTCAAATTTATGTGCTTCAGAAAAATTTTCACAGGCAGTGAAACTTAGTTACAAAGTGGTGAAAGTTCCTAAATTATTGGTATAGGAACTCAAAAGTGGTCTGTGAGAGCTGTGAAGTTGAACTGGAGCAACCAGCTCAAACCTCTTCACATGCTGAGCTTCACACATAGATGGGGTGAAGGGGACAATAGGCCTGATGACTTATTTCCTCCCAAGGAAAAGGAAGTACATCGTTAATCCTGGCAGGACAGCTTACTCTATGGTATTAACTCTTCCATGCATTAATTAGACTTATGTGTGTTGCCTCTATGGGGCTGGTTATCCCACACAATGTAAGATAGCTAGATAATGTTGAAGGCCCACAAAAAATTGTTTTTACACAGAACAGACCCTGAAAACTGACTTGCCCCAACTAACTTGCACTTTCAGGATGGCTGAGGAAAAGGGTGTATTGGAGCACAAGCAGAGTGCTAGCTCTTTGGCCATCCAGATATCCAGTGTCTGCCTCTATTCCTTTTGCAATGAGGGGTGTAGGCTGTTCCTGGAGAGGAAAGAGAGCGCCTTCCAGCTCCCCTTGAGCCTTGTCTCTTATGGGATTCCCAATCAAAATTCTGCCAACAGGAAAATCTCAAAAGGCTTTCTTTCCATCCAAATGTGAAGGTCATTTTAACAGTCACAAGAGTTGCATTTATTTATTTATTTATTTATTTATTTATTTATTTATTTATTGCAGGTCATCTCCTTAGGCTGTGACTTTAGGATAGGGCTACTTTATTAGAGTTAAAAAGAAGTAGAAGCATTTAACAAGGGTGATGTGTCTCTCTGGGTTTGGAACAGAGTAATTCCTTCCTTTGTGTTGGATGCTTGTAGCTCATTAAAATGGCAAGGAGGCGAACATGGGGTTAAGCAGCAAGTTCACTGTACTTATTCGACACTCTGATGTCTTGAAATGATCAGTCACCCTCTGTTTCCTTGCAGACTGGAGACAGGAATGCTTTGCCAGCCTTTCAGTCTGTATCTGTGATGCCAATGCAGTGAAAACTGTACCTGTTCCCAGTGATTTTTTTCTAGAAAAAGAGGCGGCAGTATGCACTATGAAGTTGTTACCTTAAGTGTCACACTTTTTAACAACAACAAAAAGAGGCGCCGGTTCTCAGACCCTTGAGTACCCCTTGCCTGCCCCTATATGCTGGGACTGGAGGCAGGGCAGCATTATACGTTTTTAATTAAAAACAAAAACAAAAAAAACCCACCCTGCCCCATCTATCCTTCCCTGTGCTTTATTTGCTGCATTTAGCACTTTGGACTATGCAGCCAAAATCTCACTTCCTTCCTACCTGGTACTTTTTGCACTCATGCTTATCATTAAATATCAGTAACCTCTTAAACACGAGTAGCACCCATGCTAACTGCTTTTGCCTGCATTCTGCCATTTAGAGTGGCTGCAAAAAAATCCAGGATAATCAGTCCATGAATCATAAATTCCTTCTTGGAATTAGGGATGGGGAAGCAATTTGATTCTGTTTACATTTAAATGCAAAGCTACCTTGTCCACACATTATGAAACAATATGCGAACTCCAGCATAGCTATACATCAAAGTTCACCGTTGTCCCAATTTTGTAATGCAGTTCCATGGTCTGTCAGCTCATACCTTGGGAAGATCTTTCTAATGTTTTATCTAAATCATTTTTTTTGTTATTTGAACCCACTGATTCAGCTTTTAACCACCACCGGCCCAAGAAAACTTGTTCCATATTCTACATATGACAGTTGTTCAAATATTGGAACATTGCCTCTTAACTAGCTCTTTTCCAGGATAAACATACTTAACTCATCTCACAAAAACAAGTATGTAGATGGATGGTTTGATCCTGTAAGGGAACTTCATATATTAAATGACAAGGCTAATATGTCAGCTGGGGATGGATTACTGTTGATTTTGAATTCTCTCAATTTATGATTTTTTGTGCCTTAAAGTCAGTTCTCATTTGTTCCAAGATTTTTCTTTTTTCTTTTTAAGTCCTCATGAAAATTCATCAGCAAATTTCTCCTAACATGCACATTTTGTGTGTGTGAAATCTTGGCTGGCATACACATTTTTTGCAAGCAATTTCCCCTAACACAATGCAATATGTGTCATCGTCACCAACATTTTTACACATTCAATTTTGTGCAAACTATTTGGCTGAAGAGCTGTCTCATAAAATTCAGAAAGGATTGAATTTTGAAGGATAGCTGTGTTTCAGTTCACCGATTGTTTTAGAAAGTGCTAAATATCTCCCCCATCCTTGATTGGTTTATATTTGCTAGATTGCTAATCTAGACTAACCCAGCTATTGGGTTTATTGAATTTCATATCTCCCAGCGCTGTTATCATTCTTAACAATTTAGATTTATGGCCGATCATCTCCTGCTCTTCTGCAGAGGCAGATTTAGGGCAGTGTGACTGGATCTGCCACACAGGGTGCTGCGCCCAGGAGGCATCACTGGGCATCATAGCTATGATGCAGTGAACTGAGCAGAATGGAAGGTGGGGGCACCAAATTTTGGCCTTTCATGGGGTTCTGTTGAAATTTGAAGGACCAAGTCTGCCTCTGCTTTCTGGGTACTCTGCTAGTCATATTTATTATAGCATAATACCTCTGGAGTGTTGCCTTCCCAGCAAGGGGCTCTTGGATGACTTTCTCTCTCCTGCCTTCATTTGCAACCTCAACAGATCAACTCCCAGGCAACTCACTGAGTGCATAAGCATTTCCAGCCCTGACACAATGCCTTTTCTGATAATGGGTCTTCTCCAAATTGCATTTAAAATAAGCTGTTTATATGCAAAACCTTGAAGACAGACCAGAAGGAGAAAACCTGCAGTAAGGAAGCTGATTTGGATGGGATTTCTGGCCTCTACAGCTCTGCTCAAGGCTAAATGCACTTGTAGGGAGAGAATTAGGACTGGCATTTTGCAGATTCTTCTCTGTAAATGATTATTATGGGTAGATTTTTGGATTGTTATAGAAATGTGAAATAATTGCTGTGTGCATGGATGCTGTAGGAAGTTGTGGCTTCGTATTTATTAAGCGTTATCCAAAGTGTTGATGCTGACCTTTAAAGGCCTAAACGGCCACAGTCCAGTATACCTGAAGGAGTGTCTCCACCCCCATTGTTCTGCCCAGACACTGAGATCCAGCACTGAGGGCCTTCTGGCAGTTCCCTTGCTGCGGGAGTTACAGGGAACCAGGCAGAGGGCCTTCTCAGTAGTGGCACCCTTCCTGTGGAACACCCTCCCTTCAGATGCCAAGGAGATAAAGAACTATACAACTTTTAGCTCTAAGCTACCCAGAGTGACTGGGGAAACCCAGTCAGATGGGTGGGGTACATATAAAATTGTTGTTGTTGTTGTTATTGTTATTGTTGTTGTTGTTGTTACACTGTGCTTCAGAACAGCTGGTTTGAATTGCAGATAGGAAGCTGCCTTATACCAAGGCAGGCCATTGGTCTAAGTCATAGGTCATGCCCAGACCTAGCTGGAGATACCATTGGGAACTGAACCTGGGGCCTTCTGTATGCAAAAGAGATGCTCTACCGCTGAGCCACAGCCCTTTCTCATCATCTTGTCCTTCCTCACCTGGACTCTACCCCTCTAGAAATGTGGGTGGTTCAATGGTAGAGCACTGGTGTTGCATGCAGAAGCTTCAATCCCCAGTTTGTCCAATTGAAACAGAGGTAGCCAATCCTGTGCATCCCAGAAGTTACTCCCATCATCCCACACCACTGGCTGAACTGACTGGGGCTGATGGGAGTTGTGGTTCAGAGACCTCTGGAGGAATCCCTATTGGCTACCCTTAAGTTAGAGCATGGGTAGGCAAACTAAGACCGGGGGCCGGATCCGGCCCATAGATGGTCCAGGAATCAGCCTGTTTTGACATGAGTAGAATGTGTGCTTTTATTTAAAATTCATCACTGAGTTATTTGTGGGGCCTAGGAATTTGTTCTCCCCCCCCCCAAAAAAAAAATAGTCCGGCCCCCCACAAGGTCTGAGGGACAGTGGACTGGCCCCCTGCTGAAAAAGTTTGCTGACCCCTGAGTTAGAGGATCTCTAGCAGTAGTAGCTGGGAAGGACCTTGGAGAGCTACTTGAAGTTAGGATCAGAATTGCTGAGCTGGGTAGACCAGTGCTCTGACTTGGGCCTTAGGGAACCCTTTGCATCTTTATTTTTTTATTCCCTCCCTCCCCAATATATTATTATTTCAATAGATGATCACAGCGGCGAGACTTTAATATGCACAAAGGTGGAAAGATTCATCATTCCCTACCATGGAAGAATGGCTGTTAAAATTATTGGACTTAGCTGAGATGGCAAAGTTGATGTGTTTAATAAGAGAAAAATCATGGTTGATATTTGCTAAAGATTGGAAATTCCTTATGGACTTTTTGCGTGAAAAATAAATGAACTTATGATATCTGGTTTGAAGACTTAATAAAATATTGGTTTCTAGAAAGTGGTTCTTGGAGTGGACGTTTTGAACAATTCTCTGTATATAGCTAACAGATGAAGAATCAGAAGTTCTTCCTCTCTTTTTCTTCTTCCCTCTCTTTCCTTCTTTTTCTTTTTTCATCCTTTTGCTTTGTGTTTTTATTCAGATTAGGTTTTTTTATCTTTGATAAAAAGATATTTGGTGTTTGATACTAACCTTTGTATTTTTCTTCACACTTTAATAAAATCTATTCAACAAACAAAAAGCGGTACCTTTTCCATTGCTCTGTCCTGAATACTCCTGTGGGTATTCTGGTGACATTTGCCTGGTAACAGGTAGAATAGATGGACCAATTTTTTACCATATATTAAGTCAATTATTTTATGTTGGGAGTGAAGAAACTTTTCAGTGTATTCTTTCTGCCTCCCATTTCTTAAAAAAAGAAAAGAAAAAAAGATTTGCAAGGTTATTTCTCACCCTCCTCATTCTTAGCTACATTTAAGATTTTGGACAGGGACGGGGAATCATAACCTGAGGTCCACATTCCTTTCTGGGCAACTTTTCAAGGGCCACATGCCAGTGGTGAGTGGGGCCAGAGGCAAGGAGTGGGCAAAGAAACAAATGTAAATGCTACCTTTGTGCAGTTGGCTAGTTGGCACACCCACAAACCTCACTTCTCTTTTCTGTATCTAGACAAGCAAGTGGCATTATCAGAATCCAAGGACACATTCTACCCAGGCAGAAATACTTGGGGTGTAAAGCAGGAGGGATGGGGCCAGGTAGAGAGGCTGAGAATGTCCCTACTCAGATCTTCTGTTTATGCACAGGAAGGTCTGCCTGTCCACCCAAACTTTAAGATTTGCAGGGCAAGCACTTCTTGCAGTGCCTTCTGTGTGGTAGCACTCCAGATGTGGAATTTCCTTCCTCTGGAATCAGTTATCTTCACTGCAGACTTTTCATCATCAAATTAAGTTGCACTTATTCACTCAGCCTTTGTTTTGTTTTATCACCCCCCCCCCAAATAGCTGAAGATTGTGTACACACTTCTCCATGTCTCCATTTTATCCTCACAACAACCCAGTGAGGTCAGGCTGAGAGATAGTGACTGGCACAAAGATATCCCGTGGGTTTATGGCTGAGTGTGGATTTGAACCCTGGTCTCCCAGGTCCTAGTCCTGCAATCTAACCACTCCTTCATACTGTCTCACACACTCTTACACACTGGCCTTGGGTTCTGCTTGATGTAAGGCTGGAGCGGGATAGCCATTTTGGACTCATCTGCCATTGTTCTGTTGTGTTATTAGGAACTGACATCTTAAAATCTCAACTTGATTTCATGTTTTAGTGATGGTATTGATATTAATCATATTTTCCTGTTTTCATAATGATATATGAACTGCCTAACTATCTTCACTGATGAAGGGTGGTTGATGAATTGAAGAAATAATGAAATAAAACAGAAGTCATTCCAGGAGAAATTCTAGGTCAATTGTCACTTTTTTACTTCTTCTTTTTAAAGTCTGTGCCCCATAACTTGACTGGGGTCTCAAACTGACCCCCACATGAGGCTTTGTAATAGAGGACGTAATCCCTTCCCTTCCAACAAGATTCCTCCCATGTCACGTTGTGCTGGGTACTGAACCACCTCCTTCTGCTCTAGCAAAGCAGAACTGCCTCTCAATATCATTTTTCTTGCCTCCATTATATGCAAGAAAAAACATCCCTACGTACCCTCCCTCAAACCTTCCCATTGCAATCTGGAGTCTCTCTCTCCTGCCAACTAACCGGTGCGTACAGAACATATTGCAAGTCATTAGCGAACCATGAGCATGCCATGACCCTTGTTCTGTGATGCCAGCACCAAGATGTCACGTTTTTCTTGAGGAATGATTCTGGATGCTTTCCCAGACACTACAGATGCTTCTTTTCTCTGCAGCTCCAATGGAGAAAAGGGAGAAAGAGAGACGGACAATGATGGAGCTTCTGCTCTCAGTTTCTATAGCTGGAAGAGGCTAGTTCTTTCCCTCCCAAGAATGGGGTTTCAGCCCCTGATGGGAGCTGCCTCACTCTCTGAAACAAAGTGCTTATGGCACGTGCCGTTAGGAGGGGGTCCAATCCCTGGAGCCCCCAGTTTTAAAAGGATCAATGGGAAAGACTTGAGACCTTGCAAGAACCACTGCTTCTTGAAAGTAGGGAATACTGGCTTAGGGAAACCCATATGGACTGATACAGTAGAAGACAGTTTTGTGTGATAATTGTATAGTTTTTCTACAGAACTGAAGTGAAAGGGTAAGGGCTTGGGGTGAGCTTTGAGAGAAACGGTTTGGGCAAGCTGTGAGGGGATAACTGAGGGTATGGGGGACGTGGCATAAAAGGAGGGGATTTGGTCATGTAGGTGGGGTTGGCAAACTGAGAAAGCAGGAGTGGCAGCTCCTAGCACTTACTGTATTTTTCGCTCTATAAGACGCACCAGACCACAAGACGCACCTAGTTTTTGGAAGAGGAAAGCAAGAAAAAAAATATTCTGAATCCCAGAAGCCAGAATAGCAAGAGGGATCGCTGCACAGTGAAAGCAGTGATCCCTCTTGCTGTTCTGGCTTCTGGGATAGCTACGCAGCCTGCATTCGCTCCATAAGACGCATACACATTTCCCATTACTTTTTAGGAGGGAAAAAGTGAGTCTTATAGAGCAAAAAATATGGTAAATGATTATTAAATGTGCTTTGCAGTAAAGTCCCTCCTGCAAATATTAAGCACAGGGGAAGGAGGAGGATGTTGATAACTGGGATTACTGTAGGAATGGAAAACTAATTGGGTGAGGGGGGGCACAGTGCAGGTTGCATGGCACACATGGTTCTGCACTCCCAACACCTTGCTGCCACTCCCAGCATCTGCCACCTCACTCTGCCCGGTGGGAGGGCTGGCCCTGTTTCCTTCCAATGCAAGCATCTGTAGTGTCTGGGAGGGCTTCTGCTGCAGTCTTGATCATCATCATGCCTTCCAGCAACAGCTGCTGTTTGCATTGAAAAACAACAACTAGCATCTCTGCACTTTTTGTGTGCATTTAGTGTCTCATTTGGCCCTTGGTGTCCCTCCCCTGGCCTCCTAAATCTGTTGCTGGGTCCAGGGACTCCTCACTGCCCCCACAGTCCACAGTGCTTTTTTTAACAGAAGCATTTGGTTTGCTGGGTGATTTTCAACTAACGGTGATGGGATGGGTTTTTTCAGTCTTTTTGCACACATTCTAGTTTTGGATTTTCTTTGCTTGGAGGTTCCGGGGGACAGCCTGGCTGAAGCAAACTGTCGGGATAACTGGCTTTGTAGCGTTCAGTCTCTGAATGAAAGGCTGGATTATCCAAAGCTTTTTATAGATCTCCATGGCTTCAGAATGCTGTATCCCATTTCACATGCTTCAGCAAGTGGAAGCAGGAAGCAACACGTGAAACTCAACTATTTGCTCTTTTTTTAAAATGGGGGGAGTGTGCATGTGATCTGCAGGACCATCTTCATTCTCATTGTAAGGACTGGATTGTTAATTGTGCCAAGTACACTATAGCGCAACATGAGCTTCATATTTTTGAAGTTATGATGGGGGTGTAGGACGTCCTGCACACAAAAGCACCCATCTTGCTGGATTTGGAAGGAGAAGATACGGAGCCCCACAGGTAGGCAAAGTGTTCTCTAGCTGCCACTGAACATCAACAACTGAAAAAAGGCAAGTGAGAGGCCATATAATAGTAGTTCATGCATTTATGCATGGAATGGAGATAGTGGACTGAGAAAAGTTTTTCTTCCTCTCTAACACGAAAGCTCATGGAGATCTAATGAGGTTACATTGTGGAAGATTCAGGGTGGGGGTGGGGGAGTACTTCTTCATGCAGCGCATAATTACACTGTGGAATTTGCTTCCCCAAGAGACAGTGATGGCCACCAACTTGGATGGCTTTGCTGGAAGCCACAGGAGCAGAGAGTACTGTTGTGCTCAGATCCTGCTTTTGGGCTTCCCATAATCTTCTGGGTGGCCACTGGACTGAATGGGCTACTAGCCTCATCCAGCAGGTTCTTGTTATATTCTTGCCTGGGAGATGGAGAGGAGAAGCACCTGGCCTCTGTACTGCTTCT